AAACGTCGTTGATTTCAAAAGAGATAACTCCTTGAAGTGACGAAAGGATCAACCAATCGTACTGAACACGAATGGTGTCCCCGGTTCCCGATAGGCCTGCATTTATCTACACGTCAAATGGAATCTGACTCTCCGCGCGACCTGTTGTTGTTGTGAACGTTGAATCCTAAAATTCGTGACGAGATGCTGCTGCAAGTAGACAGGTGGGTTTTGACAAGTAAACAAATAACGCACTAGCGTCACGGGTCATCGTAGTCCACAATAAAGCTCGCTGTTTTTGTATACAAGCCTCCATCTAATTCTGTTGATGTTCAGTAGATAATGCGTAACATTTGAAGCCCACAAATTGAAGTTTATTCAGATGTTTGACTACATATGTGATCGGTTTTAAGTGTGGAAACTGAACAAAACGGGAATTCAAAAGCTAAAATAAAGTCATTTTCGTAAAGAACTGGAAATCGTTGATGGGGTTTTTATCCACTTGTTCATTCGCTAACTAAAAAAGTGGATTTTGTCACATCATGGTAACCTTATCAATAAAATTCACTAATGAACTTCTCGTTTTGATTCGTACACATTTGTCGTTGTCATTGAATCTGACGGACTGAACTATCCTATTCGTCTAATGTTGACTGGAATTCAAGCTTTTCGATAGAAGGTTAGGGATAGAACCACGACTCAGTAAATAGATCAACAACTGTCCTTAAGTTTCATTTATTTGGTAATCAATTTTCAGGGAGAGAAACTGTGGTCGATGGAAAGCTGTCGGTCATTAAATGCCAAGGTAGGGACTTGATCGTTGACAGCATACACTGCTTGGCCAATACATGCGAACGGAATAGATTGTGGGTAAATTTATGAGAACGAGGAGACCCAAGAGTGGACACAATATTGACTAAAACGAATTGATGCACAGATGTATTTACCTTCAGAACCGATCGTCGTGCAGTGATTTGAATACAGGGCTACGGGAAACAAATGAAGACAAATCATTCCGGCATAAAATTAGTTAAAATTCCGAATATGTAGTTATTGTTCTTGCAGTTTACAAGTAATATTAATAAGTATTAATTATTTCCGCTTGGTTAAAAGAACAATGATTCATCCGGAAGAGCTGAATTCTCAAACCGTGTTTAATTTTCAAAAGAGAGGGTACAAGTGTATCACTGGCGGTAGGGAATTACTCGATGGCAGAATGGATTTTGAAACACTTAGACCGTGAGAGTTCTCGTTTAAAATTCTATCTATATCAGACTGGTAACACAATCTGTCCTAGAACGATGTCAATCAAACGGTGAAAAACGAAGAGAAAAGGAAACGAAATAAACATGGACCAAATGAATGGAGTATCCACCTCTGAGAACCAATGAACATGTGATTGTCAGGGTGGTTGGACAATTTTCGCATGCAGTAATTTGTGCTGTTTAGGTGTGCATGAATTCATTTCAGTAAAACAAGAGTGAAATAAAATGAGTTTAAATCATACAGAGAAGAGAAATCATGCGATGGAAACGCGGAAAGCTTCCTTTTAAAAAGGAAGATTAATAGTAGAGCAGACGGAATAGACTAAATAATTTGCACACAATAATCCAAACACTAGATTTTTTACTTTATAACGAGGCCCCGATCTCCTAGTAAGAGCTGCTCTGGCTGGACACGTTCTTCAAAGCACATTCTGAGTAGACCTCATCCGTTGATTCCGGATAGCCGCTTTTTCCCTGAAATGGGAGGAGCCCAGAAATCAATACTTTGGAAAAGAACTGAATCGATGAGTCACGGGCTTCTATTACGTGAGTTGAAAATTTTCAATTTCCAATCAGTCGAGAAGAGGCATCCAGGTGGGCTTCAGAACATCCTGGTAGTCATAATTTCCAATTTGATGGGGTGACGGGGTTTACAGGACAGTGTGGACATGTATGCCGTAAGGTGGGACCTAGGTAAACCTATTTTGTTTCTCATATTCAAGAAGTAATTAGGTCTGTGCAGACAATCACAGTGTAAAGTTACTTCGGGTGTTAACCTCGGTGACACTTCTTTACCTGACATTTCTCACCAAAATGACGACCCATAAACTGCTGGTATGATTCTAACCAGATTACTGCTGTATAGATCAAATTTCCACCCGGGGATAAAGTCTTGTGTTACTGTGGTAATCAGAACAGATATGAATCCCGATGCAGGAGCCAAAACTTACTGTTGTAGTTGAGTGAGGTAGTCACACTAGTATTCCTCCACCGAAATCTGAGGAAAACGAGACACGAGATAAAGGGCATAGAAGTAACGACTAGTTCACCGAAGAAAATCAGTGGGATTAGATATTATATATAAATAACTACGATTGGCTTATCATGTTTTAACCATTCATTTTCGGTGTTCTTCTCATCAAAGGACTCCTTTTTGAGTAGCATAGCTTTTGATTGGTCCACATTGTTGGCCTTAGATGCGTTTGTATGAAAGTGTAACCCATTGCAGCCCAAGTTAAAGTTATCTCAGAGGCTTGGATCAACACAGGTATACTGAGTACGCCAGTAACCAACAAATCCAATAGTAGTAATCAGGTTGTGAAACCTTTCCACCGAGTCATAACCCCGGAGACTATTGCTGAGATGAGTGAGATGCGAAGCCCGAAATAAGCTCGTAAAGATGTCTTGTGCTATATAGTGTAGGTGGAAATGAGAAACAGTCCCGGTGGCCGAGTGGGACGCCTGCTTGCGTTGTTCCTGTGATATATCGGGTTCAATTCCCAGTTGTGCAACGTACGCATTTGTCTATCAGTTCCCGTTTATCGTTCAATCACGTGACACAACTGTTCACGACAAACACTGACTAATATTTCTCAAATCCGTTTTGTCCATGCGCCAGCTTGACCTAATTGTCGGTCATCGTTTAATCAATTGATGTACTCTCACGATCATTCATTGAAATCGTTAACTCTATTCCGAACCGCACGCTGTCTTGTGTGTTTTGATTTTCTGTGTTGGGTTACGGGCCCTAAATTACGGTGCATAGCGTCGCGGTTGGATTTCGATCTTAACTATTTGGATCTATGAGTTCGCACTACTGACGAGACCCAACCAGGTCAAAGCCACTGTCCAGTGCTTCCTACCTTTTCAGTTCACGCTTCATTTGCTCTATGCGTGACGAAGTTCCTCTATGAAATTCAATATGTAATGTAAAAAAGACTTTTACTAGTGAGTGCTCATTATAGTCTCACAATTAACTTAACCAGTTGAGGTCAGTGTATCCATCTCCCATTGAGTAACGGTTTGCCACGAACTGAGCATCTCGTTCGAAAACAACAGTTTTCTTCACTTAAGGTGCTTACCCTAATTGAGAAATTCTAATCAAATTTATTCACAACCAACTTATTGTAACGTATTCTACCTAGTCTAATTGGTCTCTACTCAATGATAAACTGTCACAAAACTGTGCAGTTTAAAATACGTTGAATAAATAATCATTTATCCTTTTGAATGTATTTCTATGCCCGAAACCAATTTGGCCTGGAAAGGTCAGACAGACCAAGCCTCGCTTGCCTCCGAAGTCGAGGTTTAAAAGACTTCATAACCAA